GGAAAGAGTTTTAGTCTCAAAACTGAGTTAGGTTGAGTGTCACACATTGAAAGCTGAAATTCTAGCTCAGTCATGTTCTGTTCAGATCATGATACACTAAGATGGACTCATGGTTAATTTGTCTGGACCTAAAAGTTTCATTGTCTGAAGGAAGTTGACCAGCAGGCAAGAAGGAATTTGATAAATGTGAACAATGCAATCCATTGGTTCTGTACTCCTTAAAATACCAAGACATCCTTGTTAAGGTTGAAGCCTAAATTGGGCAGGGTCTTAGATTTCCTATTTTTTTTAAATTGATAAGCATAGGAAAAAATGCATGTTTGGCTGGCATTTTAGATGTAATGCTTAAAAATAAGCCACTCAGGGAAAGTGCCAGAATAGAGGAAGAAATGGCTGTGGTAAAGTGGTGCCAGATCATCAGCATGTTATTGCCCAGACACTTTGACCTTAGTTAAAATGTGGGAATATTTTAGGTTAAACTATTACCTATTTCCAGTTAAGTCTCCTGCTTAATAGTCCCGCCAATTTAATACAGGTTGGAGCCCCTGCAAGTTTGCTGTGACAAGGCCCTGTCTCTTCCTGCTGTAGGGAACTGGCAGTTCCCTTTTCTGTGGCCTTTTCTGCCCAGGTCTGCACAGATCGTGAGGCTGGACTCTGGAAACTTACTTTGGAGTTGAGGAACTAGGAAAGAATCCAGGGCTAGATACTAAATTACAGTATTGCTAGTAAGTACTTCAGTTGGGGTAAAAGTCATTAAGGAGAAGGCAGACATCACTGAATCCAGCATGTAAGGAAAGATCAGAAAACAAAGTGTGGACTCAAAATTACAAAGGAGATGCTGGGTGAGAAGCAGCGCCTAACCTTCTAGAGGTTCGTCACTGGGACAAGAAAAGCTTGGTTCGTGCCCTCCATTGAGGTGTTTCCTCAGTGACAGTCTAATGGGGTCAATTTGGGCCCAGTTGGGCCTTGTTGTGATCTAAGGGGTGGGCCGGGAGAGTCCTGGCAATAGCAGCCTTTGAACTCAAGAGAAGAAAGTGCCAGTGAAGCTGTTGGAGGATGTCTGAATTACTATTTGAAGGACTGTGCTGCTACTGTAGGGTTAGCTGAGGCCTTCCACAACGTCTCTGCTGGCACAGCATTAAGTGCCTGGCCTGCTTTCCCGTGCGCATGGACTTGTTTCAGACAACGGGCAGAGTCACAGCGTTCTCTCTAAGGAGCCATGTTTCCCCGGCTTACCTATGGCTTCATCCTCTCTGTGTGTTTTCTTAGGGCAGCATCTTTCATAGTCAGTAAACTAACTTAAATATGGACTGCTATTTTTTCATTATCTATATTTTTAATTTGTTAGGAAAGAGTTGCTGCTTTTGTGATGATAAATGGGAAGTTGTTACAAACATTGTATATTATTTCAGGAAAGTTTTTAAAGAAAAATTAACTGATAGGATAGTTCAGTTATTATAATCAGAAATGAACTACACAAAGATTTTAAAGGAATCTTTAAAATTTTGTGCTTGCTATCCTGTTATGTATGAGTATTCGCTTTAGGTAAATATATCAGAGTTTGATTATTGTTTCTTTTTAAAATACAGCTTTATTGAGGTGTATTTTGTATACCATAAAATTCATCTGTTGTAAAAGTCTAGTTTGATAATTTTTAGTAGATTTATGCAGTTGTACAACTGTCACCCAAACCAGTTTGTGTTTTAGTTAAGACATTTTTTGAAATAATCATAGATTCACAGAAAGTTGCAGAAAGTCCAGGGAAGCCCAATACCCTTTACCCAGTTTCCTCCAGTGGTAAATAGCTTTCACAGCTACAGTTTAGGGAAACCAGGAGACTGACATCAGTGCCATCCACAGTGCTTGTGCAGGTTTCACCAGTTTTACCTAGACTTGTTTGAAGTTCACCAGTTTTGCCTGCACTTACTTATGTGTGTGAGCGTAGTTCTGTGCAGTTTTATCATGTGTAGTTTCATGAACTCACCTCTGCACTCAACATACAGCACCGTTGCCTCACCACAGAGACCCCGTCGCGCTACCCCGGTGCACCCATGCCCAGCCGCTTCCCCACGCCTGCCTCCTGGCAGCCACTGATGTATACAGTTGCCACACGGTATCTGTCTAATTCTCTTATTTCAAGAATGCCATAGAAATGGGATAATTCAGCCTATAACCTTTTGATATTGACTTTTTTCACTCAGATCCTTCCAAGCTGTTGCATGTATTAATAGTTTGCTTCTTTTGATTGCTGCATAGCATCCTAGGGTATGGAAATATCACAGTTTAAATATTCTCCCATTGAAGGACATTTGGGTTGTTTGCATTTTTTTTTTTTTTTTTTTTTTTTTTTTTTTTTGATATTGTGAAACATGTATGTTAGGTTTTTGTGTGAATATATGTTTTCATTACTTTGGGATAAATGCCCTAGAGTGCGATTGCCGGGTTCCGTGTCAGGTGCATGTTTAGTTTTGTAAGAAATTACCAAATTGTTTTCCAAAGTGGCTGTACCCTTTTACATTCTCACCAGCAAAGCATGAGCAATTCACTTCCTCCACACCCTAATTAGCATATGGTGTTCTCACTATTTTTTATTTTAGCTGTTCTGATAGATGTGTTGTAGTGATTCGCATTTCCCTGTTGGCTAATGTTGTTGAACATCTTTTCATGTACTTATTTGTTGTCTATATATTCTCTCCTGTGCAATATCTGTTTGTGTCTTTTGCCCATTTTCTAGTTGGATTTTTTTTAACTGTTAAATTTAAAGTGTTCTTAATATATTCTAGATAAAAGTCCTTTATTGGATATATGGTTTGCAGATATTTTCTCCCAGTGTGTGGCTTGTCTTTTCTTCTTCCTCACGGGGTCTTTCACAGAGCAGAAGTTTTAAATTTGGATGAAGTTCAACTTGTTGATTTTTGTTTTTATGGATTGTGCTTTTTATGTTATGTCTAAGAACTTTTCACCTAACCCTAGGTCCCAAAGATTTTCTCCTGTTTTATTCCCTAACAGTTTTATATTTTTATGTATTTTGTTTATGATTTGTTTTGAGTTAATTTTTGTATAAGATGTTAACGTCAAGGCTCTTTTTTTTCTTTTTCTTTTCTTTTTTTTTTCCGCCTATGATTGTCCATGGTATTTTTGGTCTTTTAGATTTTAGCCATTTTAATGGGTGTAATGGTATCTGATTGTGGTTTTAATTTGCATTTTCTTCATGACTGATTTTCTTGAACTTTTTTTTTGTGTTTATTATCCATTCATATATTTTCTTTGGTTAAATGTTTATTTAAATCTTTTGCCTTTTTAAAAAAATTTTCTTTGTCTGAGTTGGGTCTTTGTTGCTGCGTGCGGGCTTTCTCTAGTTGCAGCGAGCGGGGGCTACTCATTGTGGTGGCTTGTTGCAAAGCACAGGCTCTAGGCGTGTGGGCTTCAGTAGTTGTGGCATGAGGGCTCAGGAGCTGTGGCTCGTGGGCTTTAGACCACAGGCTCAGTAGTTGTGGTACACGGGCTTAGTTGCTCCGTGGCATGTGGGATCTTCCCAGACCAGGGCTCAAACCTGTTTTCCCTGCATTGGCAGGTGGATTCTTAACCACTGCGCCACCAGGGAAGTCCCGCCTATTTTTAATTTAATTTGTCTTATTTTTGAGTTGTAAGTGTTCTTTATATATTCTTCATACAAGTCTTTTTTTTAGATATAGAAATATTTTCTTTCAGTCCATGGCTTGTCTTTCTACCTTCTTACTCGTGTCTTTTGAAGAGTAAAAGTTTTAAATTTTGATGAAGTTCAATTTATAATTGTTTTTTTTTTGGCTGCACTGTGCTGCTTGTGGGATCTTAGTTCCAGGACGCTGGCCGTGAAAGCACTGAGTCCTAACCACTGGACCACCAGGGAATTCCCATCAATTTATAATTTTTAATGGTGTTTTAATTTTTTAATGGTATGATTTTGTTGTGATATCTAATAAACATTTGCCTAACGCAAGGTCACAGAGGTTTTCTTCTAGAAATTTTACATTTAGGTCTGTGATTCATTTTGAGGTTTTTTTTTTTTTCACATATGAATATCCAGTTGTTTCAGCATCATTTGCTGAAAATACTGCTTTTTTCCTTGAATTGCCTTGGCAGCTTTTAAAAAATCAGTTGCCATACGTGTCAGTGTTTCATTGATCTGTATGTTTATCCTTATGCCGTTACCACAGTGGTTTGATTTCTGTAGATTTGTTTTGTTTTGTTTTGAAATCAGGTGGTGTTAGTCCTCTAACATTGCTTTTCTTTTTCAAACTTTTTTTTTTGCATTTCCATATGAATTTTAGAATCAGATGATTACTGTGCAGATAAGCCTGCTGAAATGTTGATAGGGACTGTGTTGGATCTGTAGATCAGTTTGGGGGAAATTACCCTCTTACCAATATTGAATCTTCCAGCCCTTGAACATGGTAAACGCTTCCATTTATTTGGATCTTTACTTTTTCTCAATAATGCTTCGTAGTTTTTACTGTACAGGGCTTGAACTAATTTTCTTAAATTTGTTCCTAAGTATATTCTCATTTTTGGTGTTATTGTGAATGGAATTATTTTCTTTTGAGTTCCTCTTGATATTATTGTACTGTTTGTGCAGCCCTGTGTCAGGGCATATATCTGCCTGTAACCACCAAATGTGACCATAGAAGACAGTTCTGACGGTTACTCTCAACAGTTCTTATTGATCTTAGAGAAGAGCCACCATAACCAGACTAGTCAGAATTCAGCCTACTTCAACTGTGAGAAAAGCCAGAATTCTGAAGGAAATGCTGTGATACAGTTTTTGCATGTGTCACCTTGGCTTGAGTGGCTGAAGCGCAAATCAAGGAGTCTAGGCAACTGTTGTGATGAAGCCAGATATTAAAAACCCAGAGTTAATAAATCACGTAAAGCAGTTTTAGCATGTGTCATAGGCTCAGTGACCATTTTTCTCCTAAAGTAAATGTGACTCTATGTGTGAAGGTGTATGAAGCTCTGATTACCAAATGCATTGTCCCCAGGTAGATATGAATGCCACCCTAGGCCAAGTTACAAAGTCGACAAAGTTCGATTTGTGGTCCGCTGCTCCCTTATCTCCACTAGGCGAAAAGCCCCTCTACTTTAATTGTCCTGCACTCACCTCTGTAGAAGAAAAAGTTAAAACATCTCATATGCTTTAACTTTGTGGGCTATTGAGCTAATTATACTTCGGTATAAATGAAGTTAGGTTTTTTTCTTTTTTAAGGCCATAGGCATGGTTACAGGAGAGGGATAGCTCTTTCTTTTTTTAAAAATTAATTAGTTTATTTTTGGCTGCACTGGCTCTTCGTTGCTGCATGCAGGCTTTCTCTAGTTGCGGTGAGCGGGGGCTACTCTTCGTTGCAGTGCGCGGGCTTCTCACTGCGGTGGCTTCTCTTGTTGTGAAGCACCGGCTCTAGGCACGTGGGCTCAGTAGTTGTGGCACGAGGGCTTAGTAGTTGTGGCTGGTGGGCTCTAGAGCGCAGGCTCAGTAGTTGTGGTACACGGGCTTAGCTGCTCTGCGGCATGTGGGATCTTCCTGGACCAGGGATCGAACCTGTGTCCCCTGCATTGGCAGGCGGATTCTTAACCACTGCACCACAAAGGAAGTTGCCAGATCTTTAATATTTTAACTCTCATGTATTCTCCACTGCTGGGTCTTGCCTAATCTCCACTGAGCTGACCATTAGCAGAATTTAGATGAATCTGGCCTATTCCTCTCCCCCATCCTCTAGTCCTGGAATGAACTGATTCTCCTTAAGCTGCTGCTCTCTTGGCCAGTTTTTGTAACTAAGACAGCCTGTCATCTACCCTTCTGTGATGAATTCACCTGGCCACGATCTTCTACCCCACGAGGTTTTTGACCAAGGATATAACCTATATCACACTGTATTCCCACATGCCAAGCCCCAGACCAGGGCTTGAACCCAGGTCCCCTGCGTTGGCAGGCAGATTCTTAACCACTGCGCCACCAGGGAAGTACCAGGTTTTTTTATTTTTGAGTTTATCTATTATTAAGTAAGGAAATGCTCTTATCTTTTAAGGGAACTTCAGGTAACAAGGAATAGTGAAACTGGTGTTGACAGTTGGGGCGGGCAGGAAGCCCCACATCACCCAAGACCCACCTGAAGGTGAACCTTTAGGAGTGCTTGTGTGGTCAGAGGTGACATGGGGGGACAGTTCACTTGTTAAGAGCCCTGGATTCAGAAGCCCAGCGCTGGTGGGAGGCTGAGAAATCTTGCCTGGCCTCTGTCTTCTTGTTATGCTGGTGCTTAGCTTGCTGGTTCAGGGCACGCCAGGGAGGCCCTTGCTTCTCACTCCTCTCCTGCCTCTGCTCCCGTCTTTCCTGCCTGGTCTTGGCTCTGTCACGTGGCATTTTTATAGTGGAGTGAGCCACTTGGCGGCGGCAGGCACCTTTATTAGAAATACTGCTCTATGTGGGGACTGCTGTGTTAGCTTGTTACTTTCTTGGGGTGTCCTAGTTGGTGCTGTCCTGGGTATAGCCACGTGGGACCTGAGATGCCTCATCGTCCATCTTACTTAAAAGAAGATGAATTCAAGTCTTTGGCAGTATTTATAAACTCTAATGTGGTAGTATGTTCTTTTCTGTGGCTGTTATTTTTGCCTCTGAAGTTTTTAAAAAACGTATGCATTATGCCTCTCTAAGGGCTAGTTTACATTTGCCAACTGTTTACTATATTCTATGTGCATTTCTTTTCTTTAAAAATATCTTTGAAAGAGGAAACACAGTAGAGGGATTTTGAGGTTGAATGCTGTCCATTTTTCTGATTTTATTTTCTTTTGATTTCAGGAGAAACTGGCTCTTCGACAGCAGCTGAATGAAGCAAAGCAGCAACTCCTGCAGCAGGCAGAGTACTGTACAGGAATGGGTGCAGCAGCCTGTACCATTTTGTGGGGTGTCTCCAGCAGTGAGGAAGTGGTCAAAGCCATTCTGGGAGGAGTAAGCACGCCCACGGGCTGTCTGGACATTGTTGAGTAGTGCTTGTGTAACTTAGAGGACACAGTGCATCTATTAAGGCGCCTACAGACTAACTCCATTTCTTTTGTTCATCAGATAGTTTTGGAATACCATCTGTGTAGGGCCCACTGTAACTGGTCTCGGGGGGATATGTAAAATGAATGAAATAAGATCCCTTCTCTCCCAGAATCTGTATGGTGTTTGTGGAGATAGTTCCACTTCAGTATTATTACTTGACATTATATGCATTTAACAAAGTTTAAAGTGCTTTTACGTATGTTATTCCAGGGGTAATATGATATTTAATTGCCTGAATGTTATATGTTAATAGCATGTGAGTGCACACAGACATCAAGGAACTTCACAGAGGAAGAGAGATTTTAAATGAACCTTGATTAACTTGCACAGGCGGCAGTGGCAGGAAGTGAAGAGGGTCCCTCAGGAGGGGAGAGGTAGAGCAGTCAGAGACCTGCAGTGAGACACAGGGACAGTGTGTGGGTCATCTGACACAGGGTGGAGGGTCAGTGTGGTTGATGATTTGTCCAGTGGGTGCTAGGATGGGATTCCTTAAGGCTTTTTGAGTGAAAAAGTGATAGGACAGGAGGGGAATTTGGGCAGCTCAACCTGACAGTGAGTGAGGATGGAGGGAGGGTGGGGTTGTGGGTGTGGAGACTGGCCAGGAAGAGTACGTGGAAGGCCGCCCCCCAGTAGAATAGGGGGTGGGAAATGGAGAGCTGTGTGGGTGAGGCAGGACTTGTGACAGGGTGGTGTCCATGGCGGAGAGGACAGAAGGAGCCCGGGAGGACTGTTATCTGACTCTGGGAGAATCGAGTGGTCCTGAATGGCAAACCATCCACCAAGGGCGGATGGTTGGCGGGAGGCCAGTAGTATGTTACTCATCATTTGTAGAAATAAAAAGAGTGGAGGGACTAAATGTATTTTAAAGTTTACTGAGCTTTCTTAAGGTATAACTTACGTGTCATAAAATTCATTTATTTGTAAGTGTACAATGTAGTGTTTTCTAGCTAATTTTTGGAGGTGTGTAATCATCCCCACAGTCCACTCTTAGGATATTTATATCACCCCATGCAGTTCCCTTGTGACATGTGTAAATGCATTGGTTTTCAAACTATTCCTTAGAACCCTGCCCCTACCAAGGAAGTGCTTTCAAGGTTCTGGGAACTTGGAAACTCTTTTTGCCGAGTAATGAAGACTGAAACTGTCAGATGAGCCTGTTATGTGTTGCGGTTTCAGTTAAGATTTTATTTGAAAAACAATTTCTGCCAAAGGTTTGAAAACCTCTGGTTTCATGCCTAGAATAGAGAACATATTTTTCTACTATATTTCTAGTATATTTTTGGGTGAATTCAACCCAGTACTTCTATCATTGTATAAATTTGAACTGTTTCCCTCATGTATTTTACTGTATCAGTCTTCAGGGTAATTTTTCTACATGCCCCAAAACTTCTTTTTTTCTGATTTTTTCATTGGGAAGTTTTAATGAGGGAATAGATTTAAAAATATTGCTTCTGTAATTAAAACCAGAGTCTTTCCTCTGTGTCCTGCACTTTGAAAGTGTTTTCCTACTGGTATTTGTGAAAGGGTGTGACATTTCCATTTCTGAACTTTCAGGATAAAGCTTTGAAGTTTTTCAACATCACTGGTCAAACAATGGAGAGTTTTGTGAAGTCACTGGATGGGGATGTCAAGGAGCTGGATTCTGATGAAAATCAGTTTGTTTTTGCTTTGGCTGGAATCGTAACAAGTGAGTAATTCTCTTCAAACGTAGAACTCGCTTTCAGAAGTGAGTTCCAGAGCAGTGATCACAGTCGGGGTGTGTGTGCATAAACACCTCTCAGGAACATTTCAAATAGGCTCCTGCCCTGGAGAATCTGACTCGGTAAATTGCGGGTGGGGACCAGGTGTATGTTGTGAAACATCACTCCAGGTGATTCTGATAGGTATCGGTGAGTAGCAACGAGTAGTCTTAGGAGCACAGGGTGAGTTTGCACATTCTGGTCAGTTCTCTACGTTGACAGAAGTCAAAACTGTAAGTTTAGCTACTTGTTATTTGGAATCATCATCACTTACTAATGTCTAGCTAAAGTAAAAGCCTTAAGCAGAGCTTAAGTTAAACTCTTGCTGTTGTTTTGGTGTTGTAACTAAAGAATTCCAAAACCCTAAATTGTCTCTTTAGTAAAATTTTCCCAAAGATTATAGTTAGATAGAATTCTGTGGCAAAACTGCTGTAAAGGATAAAGCCAGACGGCTAAATAATTAATACTAATATCTTCAAATAGTAGGAGGTGGTATATACTAGGGAGTATTAAGGCTTTTTGTTCTAAAGTCAATGAAATAGTTAAATATAGAGCTATGACTTATTTTTTTACATTGCTTTTTCATCTCTGCTGTATGCTATGCGGTTCTCTGCTGGTAATGAGAGGGGAAATGTTCCATTTCTTCATCTACTGAAATCCTCACGAAGTAGATCTCATGTAGATGATTTCTTCATAATCCCTTAGAAATTGGTGATATTCTTCTGGGGCAGACGTTGAGACCCGGATGGTGTTCAGCCAGTCCTGATTTAGCCCGGCACTTTATCCGCTGGAGGACTGCAGAATGCACTTTCATCATAGCGCCTTCAGCTGGTGGAGGCTTGCACTGCTCCACCTTTTAATATTCCTTTAAGGTCTCGTTTTTAGCAGAAGGTATTTGCAGATTTAATGGTTAGATTTTCTGCTATTTGCAAGTGACCTCAAAGGTCTATGATGTGTGTGACTTTTCATTCTGCTGAGTTGTGAGTTGAGCTGCTTGAATTGCCAGCCTGTTGCCCAGCAGACAAGCTCAACCTGGCTTTGTTTTTCCCTGCCTGGTCGTGGGCATGTCCACATTCCCCTTATGCGCTGGCGAATCGTACGGGAAGATTACGTACTATGTTCGTGCTGCTCTGCAGAGGCGTTGGGGGCCTTATGTGTGTCAGATACCAAGACTGTGTCCCACGGGGAGTAGGCAGTACGCAGTACAGCAGACACCTTGGTTAGCTGTCAGATAGATCCTCTGCCTTCTAAAACAACGATTCTTCTTTTAAGTTTACCTACAGTAAACTCACCCATTACAGTTTTTTTCTCACCTTTTTGCAGTCCTGTGAGTTTTGGCAAATGCATGCAGTTGTGTCACCACCACAGTGAAGACATGGAACAGTTCCACTACCTCCGCCTCATTTCCCCATCTGCCCTGCCCCTTCCTTTTGTAGCCAACCCCTCTGCCCACCAGCAGCCCCAGGCAGCCGCTCGTCTGGCAATTTGCTACACCTTTTAGCTGATTTTTCTGGCTGGCTTATCTGGCATCCAGCGCCTGCCCCAGGTGAGCAAGTGCTTGCCTCACAGCTCTCCTTGCAGCACCTACCTTTTCTTATTTTTCATATCAGTTGGTTGACCTTTCAGCCTCAACTCTGATGTGTTCGAGATAAGTTGTGAGTTTTGAATTATCTAAACTGCCCCTTTTAAAGAATGGAGGTGTAGCTCTTTTCAGTTTACTGTATCCTAAGCAAAAAGTGGATGTCAAGGATTTGCTTAAACATTGAAATTATGAAATTTCTTACTCATCCATAGTCACTGTTCTTAATAATAGATTAAAATAGTATAAAGTGTCTGGATTTTCAGGCCCAGCTAGTCCACTTCCCAGGATGTAAATTCTCTGGACTTTATTTTCCTTATCGGCGAAGTGGAAGAGTAATACCTGCTCGGACTACCTTACACATTGTTGTGAATGTTACTGAGCTATGGTGAAGTGGTAACACATTGTAAACCAAGGTCCTGTTTGACATGGGGGTGCGATTGTTTCCAACAACTCTTTTGTAAAAAAATAAATTTATTTATTTATTTATGGCTGCATTGGGTCTTTGTTGTTGGGTCTTCATCGCTGCGTGCAGGCTTTCTCTAGTTGCGGCGAGTGGGGTCTGCTCTTCGTTGTGGTGCGCGGGCTTCTCATTGTGGTGGCTTCTGTTGTTGCAGAGCTCGGGCTGTAGGTGCACGGGCTTCAGTAGTTGTGGCATGCAGGCTCAGTAGTTGTGGCTCGCGGGCTATAGAGCACAGGCTCAGTAGTTGTGGCTCATGGGCTTAGTTGCTCCACCGCATGTGGGATCTTCCCAGACCAGGGCTTGAACCCCTGTCCCCTGCATTGGCAGGCGGATACTTAGCCACTGTGCCACCAGGGAAGTCCCTCCAACAACTTTTATAAGTGGACAAATATAGAACTTAAAAGAAGATGGCAAATTATTATCACAGCCCTGTGAAGATTGACTTGCTTAGCTTGCAAGTGGAAAACTTATTTTTCGAACGACTTTTTGACTATTTGAAAGTCACAGTTGCACTCGTTGCCTCTTAATTCTGGGTTTATTCATTCAAACAATGTTAGGTAATGATTACAGAATCAAAATTACCTTTTTTTCTTTTCTTTTTTGCCACACTGCATGGCTTGCAGGATCTTAGTTCCCCAACCAGGATGGAACCCAGACCCTGGCAGTGAAAGCACCGAGTCCTAACCACGGGACCGCCAGGGAACTCCCCCAAATTACTTCTTGATTGTTGATAATGTATGGCAGGACTGGATCCAGCTTATCTTTTGTGGACATAACAGTCCCACAGAGTTGACAGCAGAGCGCCCTGGGTCAGCAAGCAGCACTGCTCCTGGCTCCTCCAGCTCAGGGGAGCAGTGCGGAGGGTGGGCGGGATTGAGGCCCAGTGTCCAGTTCTGCTTCTACCACCGACCAGCCCTGTGTTCTTGACTCTGTGACCCTCAGCTTCATCTTCTGAGAAAAGAGTCTTAGACCCCAGATGATGACTGAGGTCTGCCCCAGCCCTGGACTTGTGCGGCTGCTTTGAGAAAAGGGGGCCGTGAGCCTTGCCTCCTGGATCAGGTGACAGGCTCTGAGTGGCAGTGGGTCTTTGGTGTGTGCCGTGTCATTGAGTTAATGTCCCTAGAGCAGAGCTTCTCAGCCTCGGCAGTAGAATTCTCTGTTATGGGGAGTGTTCTGTGCATCGTAGGAGTTCAGAAACATCCCTAGACTCTACCCGTTAGAGGCCAGAAGCAACCCCCAGGTGTGACAACCGAGAATGTCTCCAGATGTTGCCAGTTGTGTCCTGGGGGCAAAATCATCCTCCCTTGCCACTTGGAGACCACTGCCCTAGAGCACCGCCTTAACCCATCATGTACATAGACAGAAAGGTTTATGATACTTATGATATTAGAGGTAATTGTTGAGAGAGATTTTGAGATTGCTGAAGGCTGTTTTGGTTTCTCTGTCCCCTGGGCATGCTTCTGACATGTTTGATTTAGTCTAGTCTAGTCATATAACTGGTCTTCGCCAATTCAGGAGAATTTGGTATCTGTCATCTGCAATATCCAGTTAATCACAGAAATTCTCTTAATCGTCTTTCAGTGGTTTGTCTTGGATAATTTGGGTTACTGTGTAATCTTTCCTTAGATAATGCCCTTCCTTCAGTTGCCAGAGTATGGCCTAGATAATGAGCTGTTGTTTTGTGGAATTGGAGTGTTTCTTTGGAAGCTCATCTCCCTTCTTAGCAACCTCGGTGAGGAGATAAACACAGTCAGCCTTAGAGTTTTCCAGACTAATGGAATGTAAGAGGAGGTTATGTATGTGTTGGATCAGAAGGACCCCACAAAGAGCTCCACTGTATCCTTAAGATCTGGGATTAAGACTTGAGAGAAGCAGGATAGAACTTCAGTGAATCCCTGGGGATATAACTTTCAGGGTGAATTGTTGATTTTTCTAGGGGAAGGCAAGTAAATTGGCCAATTTTATAGAATGTGACACTAAAGAGACCTGAGCATTAATCTGTTCCTGTAAAGAAGTGGCTCCAGGCAGGACGGAGAAGAGGAATTGTTCACAGATTTTGGACAAATCCATATCCTCAACCATTGGAGTTTTTTTTTTAAGCAGGTAGCATTAAGCGATTGTGGGGCTGGTACAAGGAATTACTAGTCCTTTTTCTATTAAGCTGGTCATTGGTGGCCTATGGCCTTTCGTGGCTTTAGCTCTAGAGAAGATGAGGTAAAGATGAGAAGAATCATCTGGAGTCTTTTGGCTTTTGCCCCAGTTGTTTAACTCTGTCCATAGAACCGGGATTCTGGGACTATAGTTAATTCTTTGGTTATTTCTTGAATCTTACATAGTATATGAGCAAATAATATTGAGATCGGCTATAATTTGCGTATAGGAGAATTTTCTGGGACTTCTGAACATTATCCTCTGTAGTGCCTTTTCTTTATCTGTTCCATTTACAAAATAACGTCTGTCCATTAAACTTTGCAGGGGCTGTGTCCCAGAGAAGAGAGGAGTGTCTTTCTGGTAATGGTCTCAGAGTCACAGTTACAGGTTGCGAGAAACAAAAGATGCCGGGAGTCTTTATTTCCTGAGAGTGCAGTTGCCTTTTAAGGGAAAGAATGTGAACAAATGGAAAGAACAGGAATTATGCTTGTAGATGAGCCGTAGGAAAGTTGGGGGTTCTGCTTGGAGCTGTTTCCTTCATGGTGGGTCAACAGGTGATAGCATTTGGCTGGCAGTGGCACTCTGTCACCATAGGCCTTGCCCTTAATTTTTTCTGTGACTGGGCGTCCTAAGGATCACAGCATGCTCACTCCATGGTGGAAACGTATCCAGCCTGGTGAGGTAGGTTTGGCAGGTGAAAGCGCGAGGAGGTTATAAGCGGTATGGGAACATTTCCCGGGAGTCATGTTGACACT